CAAAGGCGCGACCACGGCCTTAGTCCAGGCTTCCTGCCATCACCTATAGAAAGCTTGGGGCTTGCAAACTCAAGTCTGCTCTTAAAAATATCTTAGCCCGACTCCAAGGACATTCTGAAAGAAAAGGCTCGATCTGGGGGCCCTCTTGGGCCCACAATTTGAAGCCCTACCTCGTTCGCTTTCGCTTCATTGCCCCCTCCCTTGGCCCGGGCGTCCCGGCTCCCCCGTGATGGGCGGCGAAGCGACCAGTGGTGCCTCGGCCCTGAGCCTCGAGAGGAGCGGCGCAGGTAGAGCACCGTCCTCGACAAAAACGCCTCGGTTGACAACTTGGAAAACACAACCATTTGGACATATAGATGTGATGTTTTCTTTGGTTTCCGATTGCTTTGCTTTGGACATGGGTCGCATTGTACTGTAGATCTTTGGAGACACAACTGGCAAATCTCCAGCTTCAAGGCATACATAACGTAAACTTGCATAAACATCCATATATAAACAATCTAAAACAGCATCCCTGAATCTCTGATCTTAGGACTCCCAACCGATTGCTTTAGAATAGAAGCAACCACCGAGGCTTCAACCGTCCCGTGGAGACCCGAGTCGTCCCAGCTGCAGCGGGACACACTGCCGGAACTTCAGCTGTTCAGCCAAAGCCTCCCAGGCCTGGCGGTCAATCTTTTATTCTTCAAAATGACGACTTACTGAAACAGTAAACACATGTGAACACATGTAAACAGTACACAGGCTAATCGGCTACCCCCATCCAAGGACCACGGGTCCCACAAGATCCACCAGGCACCATGAACACCTTACCATCATGAAACTTGTGTGCGTCTTTCCCGGAAGAGGTAATTCTTGAGGTGTTGAAGTATATTGAAGTAGATTTAAGAATCAGCATCAACGACGTCTTTCGCCCTCCCCGATGCGTGGGTGTCACACAAAATGGGTGCCTGAGCGGATTCGTCACCAAGGCGTTCAGCTAAGAGCATCAAAGGAGGCCACAACTGGGATGGAGAAGTTGAGATGTTGGTCGAGAGCTGGTCAATGTGCCGTAAAACCTGGGCTCAAACGGCGATTGCATGTCATTTCATGTTATTCCTGGTGGACTTTGGACACTGACCAGTGCAGTGTTGGGAGGAAGCAAAGGCATGTGGGAAACATTCCTGATTCTTGCCGACTAATGAAGGTGTGCAATAAAATGTCAAGGGTTTGGGATATTGCCACATATTGCCCAAATAGAATGCCTATGAGCCTATGACTATGATCAAGGACCTTGACACCATGTTATGCAAGGATGCTGAGGCTCCCACCTGGTCAGGCGTGGGTGATTCAGGTACACCCAGCTGGGAGACGAAGAAATGCTTCCAATGGGCCTGGGGCATGGAGTCGAACAAGCACCGGATAGCACCGGGATGTCTCGGTTCCAACATCAAATACAACGAAAGCCAAACCAAAGCCAGCCAAGGGAGCGAGCATTGAGAAAGATAAGAGAGTGGAAGCGTACTGGACTCAGTGGCTGCGCATTGGCAACGCGCTTTTCGACACCAAGGCACACTGTACAGCTTCTGCAGCATCGGCAGTGCCGTGGCACCATGAGGATCCTGGAAACTGGGTTTCTTTCTTTTAACATTTCTAAATATATATATATATAATATATATATATATATAAAAGGGGTGTAGGCCGTAGAGGTAGTAGCTAGAGGTAGGTAGTAGTAGCCAGGTAGCTACCACCTACTGGACGCAGGATAGCTCACGCTTCGCTTCTTCAAAGAAGCTCCCCCCGCCGCCCTAAAGGCGGCGGGGGAAGCTTCACCAATGATTTGGTTTCTAGATTTTTTGGGACACTTATATACATTTGGCATCATTTGGCTCATGCCGTTTTTCCCTGTCCTCCCAAACTACCTCGCTCGACAGCCGCGTGGGTGCATTCCTTGCTACCACCACAGACCTGAGGCAATCACCAAAGCCTTAAATAGAAAGGGACATAACCCATAGAAATCATCAAACATCTGAAAGGACATGGAATCACATCATTGCAAAGCCTGAAGGCTCATCTTGGGCTTTGGCGGGCTTGTTCGCAGTGAGCTAAGGTCAGCTCCTGTACTCATCTAAAAAGATCGATTGCTCTCCCTTGAAGCCGCTACATTACTGGTGATGAAACACATTCATCAAAACTCCGCGGCACAGCCTCCAGAAGAAACACCTGTAGTTCACATCCCAAGATGTTCACAGAGTTGAGCCATGTTTAGCCTGTTTTACCATCGCAGCTCGCCGCCCTGCGCGCTTGGCGCCACTCGCGCCTTGCTGTTGCAGGAAGCCGTAGACGGCGCTCACACTCTCAGGCCCTACTGGCGAACATAGCTCGAAGCCACGGAGCACCTGCATGTGGGTCGTTGGCCCGAAGACATGCTTCCGAGTCTTAGCGTGCAAGAGTGGGAAACAGTACATGGATTTCTACGCCCGTTTTGCCACAAATATTGACAAATCATGTCCTGTCAGCCTAGCGCCTAGCAGGACGAGGTAACTCCTTAGGTCCGTTTCTGGCCGCTACAACAAAGCACGTTGACCGGACATCTATATACATCAAACTTCCTCCAGTCGAGTCCGTCTTGCTAAAGGCGACATCAATTTTGATGCTGCAACTCAAATCAACTCACATAACTCACCCACTCTTCTTGAGATGAGACCATCTCACCATCCCCACCTTCATCGCCAAGTCCACCGACGGTTTGGTCAGGACGCCCAGGGCCTGTGCAAAGTCTCCTCAGGCTCGAGCGGCTCATCAAATGACAGCATTTAGCTGGCTGCTCGGGCACATTATGGCTGCTCAGAGGCGGTCTGAACATGTCTGAACTGTTCAAGGAACATTAAGGAAACACAAACACATGACTTCAAAAGCGATCCTTGATCCTTCCTTCCTTTTTTGATATCTTTTTTGGCCTCCTTCCTTTGCTTCTTCCCATTGTTTCCCAGGTCCAGTTCGCCTATGCCACCTAGGCCTCCGGGCCGGCGACTAGTCCGCACAGGCGGCCCTGCAAGAGCGCGGCGTCCGGGAAGGTCGCACGGATCTCCGCGGTGCCGCTCACCAGGTCCCCGGGGCGGCACACGGGCGTCTCCTGTGTGGCGCCCAACGGTGGTTGAAAATGGTGGGACAGCTGAGTGACACACATCTTTGAAGATTCTCTTCAGAACTAAGCAAAGCAAGACCACGTAACATACTACTCTAAGAACATAATAGAAAACATCGGATCTAGTGGTAGTATGCCAGTCAGAATGGGCTGATGCAACACCATTCCACTTTCTATTGTGGTCCATTGCTTGAAGCCGGAACTTCAAAGGGGTTCGGTTGTATCTTGAGCACGTGTCTCAATCAATGGATCCACAATTCTGTACCGGACTCCTCATCTGGTTCATCCGCTGGCAGCCATCGAGAAGACTGTAAGCTCAACAGAAAAGTTGACGCCTCAAACGTAGCATGACGAAATTAGAATCCTTTCGCCCATGCTACAGGGAACTCTGGCACAAGCAGCGCACTCATACATTTTACAATGGCAAACCTGTGAGTGATGCTTGTCACATGTTTCCCTTCAGCACTTCAGCACCCCGTGCTGAGTTTTTTGAGTCTCGTTGGTGGATTGCAGGAGCAACACCTCAAATACAAGAAAATTGGGGACCCGGCGGCGCCATCCTTGCGGAGGGCGTAGCGTGCAAACCGCGGCCAGCAAAGGTTCATGGCCTGCCAAGGCATTTTGCTCACCGTTGCAAGAATATCTAATCAAAACCGTCTCAAAACTCGAAAAAACATAAAGAATTACGATCATAGACTTTCAAGGTTCAACAGGCAAAGACTTACCATTGGAGGGGAATGTTCCAATTCGTCTAATTTGCTATTCAGATTTGTTTGCAGTTGTTCCACATTCGTGTGTTCACCAATAACACGATCAGAACATGCTGGCCTTGGCCAAAGAACGCGCGCGAGCTAAGCCTGTTGGCAACACTGAGTCTCTAAGACCAAACGTTTTCCATTTGGCAATTGCATCCAATGTTTCAGCCACCTCAAAAACACAAAAGGTGAGTGATACGGCTGTACACATATTGAAATGCTCCCCAACCCTGCCCAAAACACCCGCAAGGGTCTGAAACTAACAGGTTGGGTTTCAACCACTTAACAGTGGCAACGAGAACACCTTCACCATCCAATTATTATATAGATCATTATTGTATCATATTGTATCCAACATCATCCAACCAACTCTTCATGATTCATTCATGATGCATCTCTCCTCGTGGGTCTCCGCTCTCAGTCTCTTTGGTGATGGCTGCTGCCAGGGTCTCAAACTCGGGGCCTTGGAGCAGGTAGTAAGGCCAGGAGCCCCTAGTAGCGTCAGGAACAACAAATTGCTTCAATATGCTTCAATGGTGCTTGAGCGAAGAACGTAGCGCATAATGTCTTTATAGATCGATGGGATTGAGGTTGGATGCAAAGGAAAAGCAAGTGACACCAGCATCGCCCACTCTCAAAAGCAGTGCACTACTCTTTGCCATTCCGAGGGCCCCACTCCGCCAATCGCCCTCGCACTGCAGGACCAATGGGCCCGGGATGGCAAGGCCCAGATCCTGCAAAGCCTAAGCAGGTCTACCAGATTCTATCAGTGATCTGACAAGCCACAGCGAAATGCCCTCTGTGCTGAAGGGAAGAACCCGCCACGCCTCCCCCAAAGGCATCTCTAAGAGGCCGCGAGGAACCTTAAGCAGTCTCAAGTCTCAGCGGCATTCAATTTGGGAGATGCGGCAACAGCTGTTGAGCAAAGCGGATTGAAGCCACCAGCCGCACAGGCGATTCAGGGCGTCTTGCAGGAGTCTTGCGCAAAAGATGGTCCAAGCAAATGCTTGGCACATCTTGGAACTTGGCAGCTTGTAACTGTACATCGCTGCAGGCTCCTCTAAGTTGCAGTCCGAAGTCGACACACGACTTGGTCTAAGTTTCGCCACAAATCGACCTACCACACCGCAGCTTTCAGCGGTGCTTTCACCGGTGTGACAGGCTTGAAAGAGGGTTTGAGAGTTGTGGTCTTCCCAGTTAAACTGACCTTGGTCTTTGCTTGGCACGGTCTCTCCAGGCGGCGTCTTGTGTTCGGCAATCTGTTCAGAAGGCCTGGTGGGATGCAACTCTTCACCAGGTGTACCATGGAGTGGACTCCGGAGCGCTTGCACACAGGATCCAAAGCCTTCCGTTGCGGGTGGAGTCAAAAGTGTGGACGCCAACCAAGCATTGTGGCTTAACTATGCCACTATGCCCAAGGGTGGAATTGGTTGGTCTTGCCTCTGCTCTACGCATTCCAACATAAATTCTAGATATGATATTATCTATAAGTGTCATGGGACTTGCGGACGGTCCATTCGGACACTTACGAACATCTCACGAATTTGGCCTTCCACATCCGCAGCAAGGACTCAAGCACCAAATCCAAGGCTGGCGCCAGCTCCTTTTTCAACACGTCATCATCAACCTGGATAGTTTCAGCCCATGCGCCCCAAGCATCGTGAGTATCTTCAGGAGAAGAAGCAGCAGTGTGGAACCATGCGGTCAAGGTCATCTTCAGAAAGGGCACCACAGAGGGGTCAATGTTCTGGGCAACATCCATTGGCTGATCGAGGAGCAACTTCTCTCTGTTGAAGAACCTTTCAAACACCACTCGTGCCAGCGGCATCAGCTGCCTGTGACGAAGCCATTGCCCCAGCCCATCCCCATCCACATCTTGCGTATGCCGAAGGAATGCCGATAAGCGCCTTGAATTGGCTGATACGAATGACGTGCGGAGTGCGCAGGGTAGCGTCAGCAAGAAAGAAAACGCGGGGCAAACGCGCAACGAAACGCGCGGTGTTTCCAACGCAAGTCGCTTGAGTCAAGCTGCGGTGCGGGTTCATGCGTGAAAGCAATCATGTCAAGCTACCTATCTGTACCTAGCTATGATCTTCACATAGCCAGAAAAGTGTGTTGACGTGATTGCAGCTGTACATACTGTACACGAGCAGGCGCTGCCTCAGAAGGTTCGCGGCCCTTCATGCGGTCCTTGCGACGCTGTCGCTGTGCCTTCCTCAAACCTTTCCTGTGCTCCTCTAGCTTTCGCTCGTCCTCGGTCTCCTTGAGAGAAATCCTGGGGAGCTTGCAGAAGGTCTCCCATAGGATGTTCTTCATCTTCTTGGTCAACCCATCTGCATGTTGGCGGTGAGTTGGAACCCAGAAAAGTTCGTAGGCACCTGACTCGAGGTGGTCACGAGCCACCATCAAGTCAAGCATGGTCTGCCGCTCTGTTGGGATCTGTCCTGTAGTACCCATGTGGTCATACAGGCTCTTGGCGTCAGTGACAACGCCTCCAGAAATTCCCATTGTGGTCCGCCAATTCTCATCCAGAGTCTTGTGCCCGTAGAGCATCATGTCGATAACAAGTCGACCATACAAATGGCGGTCCACGCAAATGCTCATTGAGCATGCTTCGGCAGACATCGAGCTGCGCAGCACTCGAGAACTCTTGTTCGTACTGAATTCAACTGGCGCGGCGGCGGCCGGTCCTGTACGAGCTGCTGCTGTGGTGAGAAAGTGTACGGCGCCCAGCTGTGACTTTCCATCGGACTCTTTTCCGAGGGACGCATCGAAGTAGCTGACATAGAACCACTTGTTGTTCTTATCCAGCGGTGGATAGGTCAATCTGGCTCGTCCAGCATTGGCTTCTTCCACAAACTTTTGATGCAGTTTCACTGCCTCCTTGTAGTCTGCGTGGGTTGCCTTTGTCACCCTCTGCGCCAGGTTGGAGACTTCGTACAGCATGTGTGGCATTGTTTGCTGTGCCGGCCAACGAAGACGCATAACCAACTGGCGGTATAGTGTGACTTCACGAGGTCCCAAAAGACCTTCCCCTTGCAGCTTCTCGACTTTGATTTCTTTGATGTACCTGCTCATGTCGTCATGAAATCCAGAGGGATCCCTAGTGATTTCAACACCCAGGAATTGAATTGGTTTCTCTGCAGTGACTTCTTTCCATTCCTTGATGGTGAACAGGTTGTCGATTTGTTTGCGTAGGGCGATGACCCGAGGGTCGCTGAGATCGCCAAGCAATAAACCATCATCAACGTGTAAGCAAAGAATTGCCCAGCTATCTTCCAAACACCGATCACTCCGGGAGCCTCCGGCAACAAAAGTAGAGCGGCTAACTGCTAGCTCTTTGAGGGGAGCGCCCTTAAGTCGATCCACTGCCTCCAGGTACCACAACCTTGGGGACTCTGTGAGACCATAGGCACTTTTGAGAATCGCAAGCAACTCTCCTGACTTGATGGGTGGCCATCCCATTGCCGGTGGCAAACCCTCGCGAGGTGCTCGGATGTACAGCTTACGAGAAGTTTCCTTCCCGCTCAAAAATGCAGTTGTGACATCGAATGTCACTCCTCCCCATCCGCGGGCAGCAGCAATAGCTTTTGCTGCTCGAACTGCAGCCTGAGGGCAAGTAGGTGAGTCAGTGCGGAACTCACCCAGGTGTGGGTCCAAATGACCTGGTACAATCAGCCGTGACTTGGCCACCAAAGGGAGAAGTGGGCTTGCTGCTTTGTTCACCCGTAACATGCGCAGCGGCGCTCTAAAGATGCACGAAGGCGGAACATATTCGCCTTTTTCCACCCTCCGGACAACTTTAATTATTCTTGATCCATTCGGACCATTCTTTGATGTCCGATTTGTTGAAGGCTTGTCGCTCGAAGGTGTCAAAGAAGCTAGGGTCCAGCTCTTTGCCACTCTGTTTCATCCTTAGAATCATCACTTCAGCAAGGAGGGTATCGTGCATTTCTTCCAGCCACATCTGCTGGAACTCTGCTGCCTCACTGGTGATGAGCGTCACCCCATGAATGCCGTCTGGCAGTTCGACAAATACCTCCGTAGGCTTGCTTGGGTCTTCAGTGCGATAGAACATCGTAAGACCCCGCCACTCGAAGCTGGCTCGCCGACGGGGATGGGCTGCAACCTCTGCATCCTTCTCGTTGACAATGAAAGTGCTTGCTGGATCCTTTCCAATGAGGATACTCAAGCGGGAGCGCGACACCATCTTCGGGGGTCGTTGCAGCCTCTTCCGTGGTGCTCTGTGAATGCGGGCTGCTGTAACTGGCAACCCTGTCAGCTGTCTTAGCAGTTCTACTTCATAACGAGAAACCCACTCATTCTGTAGGGTTCCATACACAGTGCTGGCTGCAGTCGCTGCGCAGAAGTTGCTTCTGAGGCGCTTCACTGCTCGGTCAGCATCCTCTTCAGTAATGCCACCTTTCCTTTTGATCCCATGTGGGACATCGTCTTGAAGAATGCGACGGCGTTCTTCCTGAGGGAGATGTCTGTATTCTTCCAACCACTCATTCTCATCCATGGGTGGCACCGGAACATCTTCAGCTCGCGGGGCTTCTGTAGGTGGCTCCGCTGGAGCTGAACTTGGAGCAGGAAGCATAGGCCGCTGGCCTTCCTGTGGAGCCTCTGGCTCTGGTGCTTGAGAAGGTGTATACTCCTCCATTGAGTCTTGAGACTCCGCCGCAGGCGGTGGAGGTAGGGCCTTCTTAACTTTCTTCCTCGGTGCTACCGGATCTCCTTTCTCTGGCGGCTGGAGCTGCACCTTGCGCTTCCTGAGCTGTTCTTTGAAGCCAAACCGGCTCTTGAGCAACTCCCGGATTGACTTGGTGCCTCGCATCATCAATCGGGCACGTTTACGCTCAGGGTCATCTCTGATGTGCTTCCGCTTGGGAGCTCCTCTGAAATGGGTTTGGTCGTGATAGGCGTTATCACGCTCTGGATCGCGAAGCATCTGGCCAATGGTTTCTGCATCTTCTTTTGCGGACTCATTCATGGCCAGTTCTTCCTTTGTAGCCAAACGCATGTTTGGCGTTGCAAGGAGCAAGGCGCGTCCTCTCCAGCTAACAAAATAGCGTTGGTGTCCTTCACGAACCAAAACTGTTGCAGGTCCACGCCAGATACCTCCTCGACTGTATCTTTTTGAAGCTTTCTTGGGCACCCAGAAGTAAATCTGGCATCCAGGAACATATGGACCTTCTGCGTCCACACCGGGCTTCCTCAAAATGGCCCGTTTCATCTTTTCCTGGACATCCATCCGGATCAGCGCCAACCTGGCAGTAGTTCTCATACGGTGGGATCTTGCAAACTCAGTCTCGGTGTCCAAGCTTTCTGCAAAGCTAGGCTTGACATCGTCCTCCAAAAGACTGGGATAGCGGTTCCAAACAACCTCTGGTTGGGGCTGAAACCATCACGGGTAATGGTCATGTTCTTGGCTGCCAGCGCTGAGCTCAATGCCAACTTCATACCATGGAAACCTTCTGTGACGTGCTCGGTTGTGATTGCTCCAACCATGGTTCCCAAGATTCCCCCATGCCGTTCTCCGACGGCCAACTGCCAACCGGCGTGCGATCCGGTGAGTGTGCTGGGCGCAGCCATTTGCTCCAAAAGCTGTGTAAAAGACAGTTCGAACTCGCCGCCTTGGTCATGATAAATGTGCCCTGGGGCTCCAAACAGTTGTACCCAGTGAACCAAGAATTTGCGGGCGACGTAGTCTGACCTTCTGGTCTTCAGCATGCAGCCTGCATGGTACACAGTTCCAAGGTCAACAATACTCAAACAAGGATACTTCCGACCCTGGGTGTCGAAGAGATACTTGATGTCAATGTGCAAAACTCGGTTGAAAGCAAATGGTCTTGAAGTGGCGGTTGTGGCGAGTGGATGCTTTGGTGGCTGTTGCATCCTGCAGACATCGCAATGCCATCGGCGAGCGTGCCGGATTGCATCATCATTAGCTCCTGAAATTCGCAGCATGCGAACAAGTGTATCCCTGCTGGGATGGCCCAACTGCCGATGGGCAAATTCAACAGCCCTCTTCACCTCTTGAGAGATGGGTCGCCTCTCCTCCTCTTCAAGATCATCCTCGCTCTCATCCTTGTAGGATTGAATACGTTGTTCTTCCTCATCGATGCCTTCCTCTCCTTCTTGGATTGCCTCTTCTGGCACCTGGTCATCCAACATATAGACCTCTGTGCGGGTGTCATTGGCCTGCTTGTCCAAGAAGGTGTGCGCGGCTCGCATGATGGCGCGGCACAGCGGCAGGGGGTAGCCAGCTGCCCAAGAGGAAAGCGAAATTCTGCCATAGGCACTGGTTTTGACAGGGCCCTCAATCTGGTGATGTTGATGATCACCAGGACAACGGTGGTGGAGTTCCGAAACTACTTCAGCTTGACCCACAAACCTCGTGGGCTTCTTGATAGGCATGCCGTTTTCTGGATGGCGAAGTCCATACTGACATTGATCGCAAATAGCTTCTTCCGGATGACCGAAGGCGTCAATGATGTCAGGTTCCTTCCATGCCAATGAAAGCAGTGGGTTCTCACCCAGAATGGCCCGACCGCTCCGAACCTGCCACAATGTGACTCTGCGGGTGAATCGAAGTAGTTTGCGAGCTTCAACTCGCCGTGCTAGAAGTGCCTGTTTTTGTGTCCACGTCCTCTGGTTGGCGTTTTGCATGATGGTCCATTCCGTGCATGGCCATGCAACCGCGATGAAATCAGGGTTCACACGGTGGAGATAATCCCATGCTTCCTTCTCAACTTTTGGGGATTTGAGATCCCAACCTGGAAGTGTCAGGGGTTCCAAATACTCCCAACCCAAACCATAAGCAAACCTTGACAGGAGGCAACTCCAGGTAAAGATCTCTAGGATCTTGTAACCTGTGCGAAGGCGACGAATGCGAGGCACTTTTTCCGGGCAGGAGCGTCGCTCAGCTTCTGCCATTGCAGCCTCGCTGATGCCTTTGGCAGCAGCCAGGATCCTGCGGCGCTGGCCTTTGCTCAGGATCTCTGTCTCACCGGCGCAGCCAGATGTCAAGATCTCGTGGAACTCCTCTTCAGCCTCTGTCTCGTTGCTGGTTGTGGAGTCCTCGTCCTGGTAGTCGGGATCATGCGAGGTCTCAGATTCGCCCTCGCTGATAGAGCCCTCATCTGAGCTCATGGGATCCAGTTGTGGCTTGAAGACCTTTGGGGCGTTGATGGCATCCAATGTCTCGACTGCTTCATCCTCCATCGTCTCCTGCCACATAGCCAGCTGCTGCTGGGTTTCAGGTCCATGTACAGCGACCTTTAGGACCTCCTGTGGCACCTCACTTCCAGAGTCAGAGATGCTGTCCAGGGCATCTTGAACCAATGCGAAGGAGTGTGGATCGCTCAACAGGCGCTGCCTGAGTTCTTCCAAAGGCTTGATGCGCCACTGTTTGGGATTCGGGTGTGATCCCATATTGAGCAAACCCAAGATCGGGTGCCTGGAAGGAGACATCACTGTAGGCCTCCAAGTGCCATGAATGCCAACCTGCAGGGTTGCGAAGTCGATCTGCACCTTCCAACGTGCCAGTTCTGCCGGACCCACCAGTGCGGGGCATTCTGATACCCTGCTGTCCGTGCTGGTGTTCTCAACCAGGGCAATGCGTACCCAACTCTTGTGGTCATAGATCTGGACGGGGTAGATGTACGCCTTGGTTGACAAGACAGGGTCACCAGCTCCAAAACGGAAGATCTCCTCATGGTCCGCCATGAAGTATTCCATGCCACACTGCTCCAATGCACGCTGGAAATCAACATGCCAGAGCTTGCCGGCTACTGCTGTTCGGCAACCTGTGTCGAGGATCACGTGACCTGGAGGCATGTTCATTTGCATCATGGCCTCGCGGTACTCCTCTTGTGTTGGGGCTGCCGCCTTGCAGCTCGGCGCGGCCGTGGCTGCCATTGCACCATGGACTGTGCTGTAGTACAGGACTTTGCGCAGCTTGCAGTCCTTGCATGTGGCCCAATGTGCATGGGCATTTGCTCCCCAGACCAGGCGATCGAACTTGTGGCGGCACGCCTCCTGGTCAGCCGTTGGGATCAAGCGTCCTCGCTTGTCGAGCGCAGCTTCATACAAGGACTTGCGGAACTCCTCCAATCTCTTCTTCTTGACTGGAGTTGGCAGGTTCTCCTGCTTCTCTGGTGGCTCTTGAACCTGATCCTTGCCACGTCGATCAGGCGTGGAGTAGCCATAGCCGCCCTTGCGCTGCTCAGGGCGCTTCAACATGGACCGCTCCGGGGTTGCCGAGCGGCCAAAGATCTCGAGGATCTCGCGTTCCTGGTCCTTCTTCAGCTGCTTATAGAGGATCTTCTTCTCCTCTTTGGACGTCTTGGGGAGCACCTTCACCAGGTCTTCGGTGCTCAGGCCAACATCCTCCTCCAAGCGCTCTGGCTTCTTGTGCTTGGGCTTGGCCTTTGGGCGAGCTTCTGTGCTCGATGTTGCACCGGTAGCCCTGGCTGTGGCACGCTCTGCAAGGCGCTTCTCCTTCTTCCGGAGCCGCTGGATGGTCTCTTCATCTTTCTCATCCTCCAGCAGTGAGCGTAGCACCGTGAGAAGCTTCACTTTAATCTTCTCCTTTGCTTGCTTGGATTGGGAGGCTTGCGAACTCTCCGACAGCTTGAGGTGGTAGGCCAGGTCCTCTTCTTCACTTTCTGAGGCTGCACTTGAGCTGCTATCCACCTCCTCATCATCGGACTGGTACCGTCGGATTCGCTCCCATCCATGCATCATGGTCCAATTGACCTGCCTTGTATGCAGCAGTTGCGGTTGTTGTATCTGCTGCTGCTTCCCTTGTTGCCTCTGTGGCATTGGAAGCTTCTTCTGAGGGAGCTGGAGCCTCTGGTGGAGCTGGTCTTGTCACATCGACCGGCTCAGCCATTTCCGGCTTGCTCCTCCTCCGGCGCCGCCGGTGCTCACCTTCAGGGCGTGCCTCACCTGGCTCACCTTCTGAACGGCGACGCCGTCGCCTCTCTCGAAACTTCTCTGGGTCTCGGATCGGCAGCGGAGCCGGTTCTGCTGCCTCTCTCTCTGCCGCTGGCGGTGGTTTGGTCTGTTGCTCTGCCGCGGGCTGAGGTTTGGCCTTTCGTGGTTTGGGCCAGATCTGCTTAGCAGGACGGGGCTTCATCAACGGAGATGGAGGCGGTGACGTTCTTGTACTGTCAATGGCATCTTGGATGCTATCAAAGACCAGATATTCTTCTTCACCTGGTCGTCGAGCTTTGATCTTGGCCGACAGGCCTTTTGTACCCGGCTCAGGGATCTTCGGCACCTCATCATCGTAGTCATCATAGTAACCCCTGTCGCTGCGGCGCTTGGTACCCGTTCGCTCCCTCTCCGGAGGTGGATACGAGGGTTCTGCCGGTCGCCGCCGGTCTGGCAGAGGCTGCGGCCTCCTGCGAAGTGGCTCACGCTCAGGCGGTGGTTCACTTCACTGGCCTGGCGGGTCCTGCTGAGGGATGGCGCTGCCCCTTGTGAGTGCCCGTATTGAAATGGGCCTCATTGTCGCGCTTCTGGTGAACTGCATCTTTACCTGAGCGGACATTTGGGCATACCTCATCACCCTTCCAATTGGCCTCGTTGGCCGCAGCTGGCACAGGTGGAGTTCTTCTTCCTGGCATCGGGGGTCCTGGTATCTGGTGGTCGTTTGCTCTTGCCCTTTCCTTTACCTTTTGGCTTGCCATCTCCCTTGTAGCCACGGCCTTTGCGTTGTTGGGCCGTCTTGGACTTGGCTGACCAGCCGGCGGAGAAAGCTTCTTGGAGGGCACCTCGATCCACCGTGTCCAGGTCCTCATCATCGTCATCGTAGTAGCCCTCATCATCTTCATATGCCTCTTCTTCCGGCATGTCTTCTTCTGCCATGAGGGCTTCAGATCCTCATTGTCTGGGTCTCCGAAGGAGTCCTCCTCATCATCGTACTCCCAGTCGTCCTCTGCATCCGCCCAGTGTGTATGGCGGGTTGGCTTGTAAGGACCCCTGCGGTCTGTTCGCTTGACCGACTTCCGAGGCGGCGGCCTCCGGATTGGTGCTGTGCGGTCTTCTCGATGAGCTGTAGGCTTGCGCTCATCCAAGTGAAGTTGACTGCACCTGAAGCACCCGTTCGATGTCAGCAGACTTGTAAGCACCTCCGGCTGCAAAGAACAAACACATCATATCGTTCTCTGCGAGTGAGCGCGGCTCGAGACAGCATCCTCTGGGCGAACGCCCTGTCTGAGATCACTGAGCCAGGCTCTTCTTTGAGGTATTCTGTTCTCAACCTCTTCAAAGTGGCCAGATAGGCCGCCACACTCTGGCCTGGGAGGCGTCTGTATGACATGAACTCCGATTGCTTCTCTTCGAAGCGTTCATCAGCCTTTGCACCATAGGCGTCCTCGAGAAGGCGAAGTACTCGATTGAGGCCTCCTGCTGACCTCATGTCTTCAATCTCAAGTTGATTCAGCGCTTCACGAGCTTCGCCCTCGCAACTGAGGAACATCAAAACGGCCAATTCTTCATCTTGAAGTTGATATAGCTGCCGTACGTTGTGCCTGAATCGTCTTGATCCAGTTCCTGTAATGGGCCCTGTCGCCCTTGAAGACCTCGAGCTTGACCTGCCCAAGGTTGGTGCGGTTGCGCTCACCTGAACTGCCTGGCCTGCCCTTCAGCAGTTCCTTGATGGATTCAGTACGCACGGTACTAATCTCCGACGGCGCTGCCGAACCACCATGGGATGGTGGACCTGAGGGCGGTGCAGAAGGCGGATCTTGGTCCTTCTCGACCTTGGGCTTCTTCTTCACAACCTTGGCCGCCCGATGAAAGGCCTTCGGCGGTTGTGGATCCTTCGGAGGATCTGCTGGGCGAGACTTCCCAGCTTTTGCCTTTGCCGGCGCTGCCGGTTTTGGCTTTGCAGCTGGTTTTGCTGCTTGCTTCGCCTTGGCAGCGGCCTTCGGCGTCTGTGCAGCTCTTGGAGTTCCTCTTGGGGTCGCAGCCACACTTGGATCATCTGTGAACTCCCCATCCTCTTCTTCACTCTCCTCATACTCCACTTCCTCATAGGATGAACTGCTTCCACCTTCACTACCATCATCGTCGTCATCATCATCTTCATCCTCCTCTGGTGGAGGAGGAGGTGCTTTCTTCTTCTCTTTTGCCGGAGGCTTCTTCTTATTCGGAGACTTCTTCTGTGACTCCGGCTTGGATGGCTTCTTGGGATGTGCAGGTTCTCGTGGTGGCTTTGACCCTGAGGGATGCCTCGTAGTCTCAGGGTTGACATACTGCCAAGAAGCTCCAATGCTCGACGTTGCCGTGGGGATGGTTCCAGCTGGTGGTGCAGTGAAGCGATGTGAACCTCCATGGCCATACCACCAATGTTGCCCATCGCTGTACCACCAGTGCCCATAGACATCCTGTTCCCATCGCAGCTGTGACATGGCCGGGTAAGGTTGGGTGTATGCTGGAGGAACAGGCATCTGCGGAGGTGGCATCGAAGGTGTCCAACCCTTACCTTTGCCACCCATGCGTCTTGCGGGCGCCGCCGGAGCTGACTGTGCTGATCCAGGTGTGCCTTGTGGCGTTCCATGAACTGCACCATCGGATGCCGCTGACATCCTCCTGGGGGTCGCCGCGGGCGACCCCTCTCCAGGCGCAGAGTGGGTCTGGGAAGAAGCATCTTCCCACTCATGGGCTGCCGCCCCCGAGCCTGCATGCTCGGCCATCAGCCCCCGATCGAAGATCAGGAGCTCCGCTACCAATGCGGAGTGCGCAGGGTAGCGTCAGCAAGAAAGAAAACGCGGGGCAAAGGCGCAACGAAACACGCGGTGTTTCCAACGCAAGTCGCTTGAGTCAAGCTGCGGTGCGGGTTCATGCATGAAAGCAATCATGTCAAGCTACCTATCTGTACCTAGCTATGATCTTCACATGACATTCCCCTTTGCGCGAGTCGTGGTTTCCACAACTTTAGAATATGCCAAATCTGTATAGGGAGAATTTGCCTATCTTTGGAGCGTCTCTGTCACCGTAGGTTAATATTGGTAGCGAGTAAAGAAAAACTTCAGCGAATCCAAGATACGTAGCATAAACGGCAGCCGTGCCTGCTGCATAGGCTTCTGTCCCTTGCTTTGTCAACCGCGCAAGCTGCTTGGAAGTGATGGCGTGGGCACCCACGAAGCCCAGCCACCGGCCGCAAATTGCCACATATTGTAGGAATAGTTGTCCCACCTTGCAGAAGTAAGAACTTGAGGTTGGAATCTGGTTGGAATCTCTATGGCCAATCAATCAGAAGAATACAAAAAGCACTTCAAACAACAAAATGCATACTCTTGGTAGGCAACGTGTTTTGGTTTCCTAGGGCTTAATTCTGAGGAGTCTGGTTTGGTCCACACACCTCCAAATCGACATCTTCCTCCTCCGTCGCTGACAAATCCTCCGCGGCCACGGAAGGAATTTGCACCTTCCGCGGCAAGAGGGCTGGAAGATGATCGGTGGAGGGCGTGGATAGACGATCCACCACGACCTTGAAGAAGTTGAGGTTGGTTCTATCCGTCTTCCATGTGCATGCATTGGCCTCAAGGTGCATGTCAGCAGTTTCTGCCAGGAGCTCCTCGGCCTGGACTTCCGTGGCATCCTCCTCGAGGATCAAGTTCTCCAATCTTATCACAATTTGGCTGGAATCAAAGGATTGCATCTTCTCCTTTTTGAAAGACTTGATGACTTCGATCACCCACGCCCAATCGTGCTTCTCATCAGCCAAGCAAACAAAGAGAGGTGTTCCTTGTGACTCGGCTTCAACCCGAGGCAAGGCCCTCTGCTCCACGCGGACCTCGCGTGGATTTACATCAGTTGCGCCTTCTTTGGCCAAAACTCCAAAAAGTGGCGCTAAGATGTTGTAGCAAAGCATGTTCTTGGACTGTTCAGCCAGTTCCAAACAGGTCAACCCCTTGGTGGGCGCAGCATAATCATTACGCTCCTCCACGTTTCGCAGCTCCTTGATATCATGCCCATGTCGTAGTGCCCACAGCACCAACTCTTGAAGGCATTCGGGGCGGCCATCGAAGACGGCACGGTGGAAGGCAGAAACCTTGAACTGCCCGACAGGGCGCAAAGGCTCTGCCAAGGCTCTCCAGGGAGCAAGACTCTGAGATTCTATGGTGAACTCGTCGAGAAGCAGCCTGAGGTTCAAGGGGGCTGGAGTTCTGTCACATGTTTTTGGACTTAATTAAGGGACATGATGCCTTTGTGATTTTTCATGTTTTCAAGAGTAGCCTCAGTGTCTCAACGTACCCCTCTTTGATGCAAGTGTGGAGGAGGTTTGAGCCGCCCCGGAGCCGACCCACAAGATGCAGGGTCGCATCTTTGTCCTGCTTCCCGTTCAGGTAGTACGCCCGTAGCATCTGATCGAAGGAGTGATCTGCCATTGCAAGCCGAACGCTGGCAGGGTCAGATAGCTCTTCGAACAGATATTTGTCCACTTCTTCCAGAATCGCCTCAAACCCCTCAACAATATAGTCCGTAACAACATCTTGCCCATCGCGAATGCCTAGAGGCATGAACTTTGGATCGTTCCCACGGACTACGACGTGGTAGACCTTCTGCGTTTCCATCACCCGCTCCACTTCCTTCTGCAACCACTGTGTCCAAAAGCCGGTGTCGCGAAGAGCTCGGAGGACATCCTCCACACTCACTCGCCTTATGTAGTACCAAGCATCCAAGCGCAAATGCCTGGAACCTTCAGTGGGCTTGGTCTGGAGTGAGACCAAGCGAATACCCTTTTCGAGAGTGTCAGGAATGAGCTGCTTCAAGACTGGCTTGCAATCTATGTGCAAATTGGTCTTCAGGAGGTCTACAGTCTGGTTGGTCCACGTGGTATGCGTTGTGCTGGCCATGGCGCTCAAAGGAAGACCACAAACCTCTTGAGGCAATGTATGCAAAAGGATGCAAAAGGTATTGAACTCCGTGCGTCCAACATAGACCCCGCTCAACAACCCTCCCCAATGCTTGGCCTGGAATCAGTCTTTGGGGAGCCAGAAAGCGTCGCAGCTTTGACACTGACGTGACATGGGCGCCCAACCGCTGCAAGCTTCAGCTCCAGCACTCCTTTGGCTGCCTGTCCAACGAAATGGCCCATGGAGTGTCCCAAGAGCGCAAAAACGCAAGTATCTTCACTGATCCCAAACTTCAAATTTGATGAGACATATAATAAGCCAGGCTCCCAACAATCTGGACATCAGGTTTGCTCGTTTTCATGCCCAGGATGTGCTTTTTCGGGGTGAGGCAAGTCATTGTAAGTCGATTGTCCGCAAGAGTTTGGTCTGTCCAAATGAACCTCCTCGAAGTCGATGTTGTGCGAGTGCAGTGCGGGCGCTGAACATGGACGACCAACAGCCACCTCAAGACAGGAGGGAATTCATGAGGCCTGGCCCGGCCTGGCCACCAGGCCTTGCCATTTTGGTGTTTCTTGGGACTTAGATGGACTTCGTGAGATGATCTGAGTGTAGGTCTATATCGTTTATAATAACACTCCTGTTTTTTGCATGAATCCTATTGTCAAACGATCAATTCTCGCATGCCAATGTGAATGCGGCCACCTTCCGGAACGCGGTGCCTGATCGAGGTTCTTCAAGGGCCACCCAACAGCGCCACTGAGTGCATCGGCCAAATGTCGATGGGTCACCTCACAACGTAGCTTGTCGGAGCAAACAACAACTATATATACTGTATAGTTATATATATATAGCTATCATATGTCATCTACAACCCACCAAGTCCAACAGCATTCGTTCTGCAACGGACACCGACTAGTCCACAGCTCAAAGTGAAGAGAACTTGTTTTCCAAGGAGCCAAAAAGCCACCAAGAGCCAAAAGAGCTGGCACGGGGCGTGGAGCCTGCAAGCATGCTCCCTTTTCACCTTTTGTTGACCTTTTCGCAGCTTCAGTTTCACGTTTCAGCAATTTTCAGCAATTTCACAGAAGTTGCATGTGATGTCGCTGGGTTAACACCCCCTTCTGTCGTCTGTTGAGACACCTTTAACATCCTTTCACTACCATGCCGACCCTCGTCACAAGGACCACATTGCAATGAGTTGAGTAGATTCTTCTGGATTCAACAAACCGAGTCTTTCTACTCTTCACACCTCCGAAGCCGGAATGATGCAGGGCACGGTTTGACCTCGGAATGGGCTTTGACCCCCCCAAAAGCAACCTGGTCGTTTGCAGGTCTTTTCCTCCCCAAAAAGGATTCAACACCTTTTGCTGAAAACCAACAAATGAGGTTTCATGATGCTGTCAGTCTCGCTGGGCTTCTGAGCCTGCAAAGAGCGGTCCCAATATGTCTTGCACCACCTCAGCTGGAAGGGAGTACAGAATAGACCGATGAGAAAAGAGAAGCCAGTTGTAACTCAAGTGGTGTGCTTCTGATTACTGAAACATGCATACACAGGGCCAGTTTGGAAGATAGCAAACGCAACAACCAGTTCAATCGCACCAAAGGGGGGATGGGCAAACTCTTCACCCACGGCATTCTCAAGGCCATCTCCCCAGTCTCAATATTTCAAGACACGAGTCGCTTGCGGGAGTTCCATTGTGGGCAGGATAGATGAAGGCATTTGCTGAGAAAATTTGTTCATTGCACTTCTCATTTTGAGACCCAACAAGAACCTTCCCGATGCAACATGCAGTCTACCAAATAGGCCATCTTCGCATATATAGTTATATATACATCTATAAAGAATAATTGGCGTATTCTCTTGAGGATGGTAGGGGTGTGAAGTTGATACAACTGTCCCAAACATTCTCTAGCAGGCTGAGTTACCAAACCATTCGTGGCGTCAAGGCCTTGACGTTCAAACGCCTGAGCAACTTCCTGCATGTGATCGCCAAGAAATGGCAGGATGCTTTTGATGAATTGTAGGTGTTTTGGAACAGGGGATATTTATGACGGTCAGAAATTGTGAGAACAAACCTTAGCGAACTGCAACCCCTCTGAAAGCCGGAGCTCTGGTGTTTGGACATTGTCCTTCTTCGAGTTGAACATCATTGAATTGTACGTGTTGAGCAGTTGTAGCCCCACTAATTACTGCCAAACACATAACGTAACTTCATGGGCACTTCACCAAGAGAAGATCACTAAAGACAGCTTCTCACAGTATTTAAGATCTATCAACGCATGGGCCCGACAAGTCCTAGTAAATACTGGCATTGCAGCAAAGGATATAACACACCTGTCTTCAAGCTCGCATATATAGTATAGATATGTATAGTTTTTTTCCTGTGATATTCACACTTTGATTTACGATGATTCAATATAAGCTTTTCCACTCTAGCAGTCCTCACTCTTGCCACCGCCAAGGTGGAACCTGGTGGAGAAAGTTGTGCTTGATTGTGGTTCCAAAGGCTGCTCGAGGGTGGTGGTTTGGTATGGAATTGCAGCAATCTTCTGCGGACATTGGCAGAGGACAGAATGGACAGAAATGGACAGAATGTGTCCAGTGGACACAGCAAATGGCAAGGATGTCATGCTTCACTGGCCTTCATCCGCATCAGCCAGGCCTGCCAGCGTGGCCCAACATCATTTCCTTGTCCTATGAGTTTCTAAACAATTGTTCGTACAACATGAGTGGCCTTTACATAGGTGAAGCAACCATCATGGTGGCTCCGACTTGTACCCAACTACAGTAAACTAGACCTCTGTTAATATTGTTCATAGACAATAATATCTGTGCTTGCAGTTTGGAAGATTTGGTGATCGCACTCAGCAAACCAAAACAAAAAGGATTACCAAGTGATTTTGAGTCGAGTGGAGCTGCAAAGACACATGTACCAGAACTTTTTGTTCGAAGGCACAAAGTATGAAGGGACCTTCTGTGGCATTCTGAAGCCCTACCCAATAAACACACACTTTGGGTCGCCGGCGCACCTTCCTGGAGGAGCCTGACACGAAAACGACACCCAAACCACTTGGAATTTGAGTTTGCTGAGCATTGCTTCTTAGTTGTTTATGTTGTTGATATCCCTCAGTAGGAGGGATGAAGAGACTGGGTAAATAGCACAATCTCCAGATCATAGTTCGGATTCCCATTCTTCCAATTCAGCACCAACTTTTTCAATCCATTCCAGTCAATCAGCGAGCTCCGCTCAAGAACCGACTAAATGACCTCTTAAAGGGAAAGTCGCAGTTCCAAACGGGCAGGATTCTGGAGCTCTTCTTAGCTCTTCAGCACAAATGTCCAGACATGGCGAGATGGCGAGAGCACATTTCTCAAAGCTCGTCGGGCTGCTGTAGGAAATGCACCGCATCAGTCTCCAGTGCGACCGAAAAGTGCGAAGAGACGGGCTCCCTGTGGCGCGACTTCGGGCGATGTCCAGTCGCCGTCGACCTGAGTGGTGACCATCAAAGCACTTCTGCGACATGAACTAGGACGGGCCAGCTTTTCTCATCTTTTCTCCACAGTAGTTACAGGTCACAGGTTGTTTTCCTCATTTTCCTAGAACGAACCGTGATAACCCTGGTGCGGTTGAGCATTGGAGTATCCCAACACATGGTGGTTGATCAATATTCCTTCTTGCTGAAAGGCCACTCTTCGCCGAAAAGGTTTGGTCTGTTTTCGCAAGTCTTTCACGCTTTCGCGGGGGGGTTTTATCCTCTGGGGGTTTTATCCTCTAGAAATCTTCTTAGTTTAGTTTAGTGGGTCTACATAGCAGCCTAATTAAGCACTTCCATCTGTTTGTCTTGTTTGTTTTGGACGAGCACGCTATCAACTGCACATGTCTTGCTAGGTCTTTCGCTGCTTGGCTTGGGCAGGGGGCCACAAAACAGGCCTTCACATTCGCCTATGCATTCGCGGATCTTTCGCCAAACAAATGTCGTGGGTTTCTAGGCCCAAAGCAAAACAACAAAAGAGTTACTATACAGCCTTGGGATTGTGCATCGCAAGTGTCAGCGATATAATGTGGAGTGTAAAGGCTTGTGAATGTGCCACTGATGACTGACTGTGCCTAGGAGCCATGGCCAAGCCAAATCACCTGGAGCTTGAAACCTAAAGACCGCATCGAAAGTCAGGAATCAAAGCTACTCCTGAGTGAAGGACAGTCTAAATATATAGACGAAAGATCTTTCGCGAACAAACAATTTACTTTCGCGAACTCGAGAAAAAACCTTCGTGGACAACTTGAATTGAAGAGGTGTGTGAAAGTATCATTTGGACTTGCTCACTCTTTGGGAGACTTAGCTCTCAGCGACATAGGCCTTATGTCGACCTTTCGATCGACCACCACATCCCAAGACCACAATTCACCCTGCTGAGCGCTCCTTCTCGGTACGACTATCCTAGTCTGGACACCTGCCTGTGGTGAGGGTGGTTCCTGTGTTAGAGCAAGAAGATACATCTCTCATCATCTCTCCATATAAAATATATTAAAACATTATGAAAACTTCCTGAAAACGAGCTCCTGAAGACGCAGGTGTCTTCTTCTTCGCGCTTGTGTGTGGAGCTTGAGGGATGATTGGTTTGATCTTGAACATTTGAGATGCACCATCTCGGGCCAAGGTCACGTTGATAAACTTTCTGATGCCCAGGTGTTCTTTTCTCCACAAGTCCCTCACTGAAGCTTCTTCAAAGAAATTGCAAGGCTTTCCAACAAAAGCCTGACTGGACCAACAAACATCAGAGACTGCGAAGCTGACATTTGCAGGCTTCTCGGCATCCAGATTTAAAAGGACCTCAGCTGAAGCCAACTTGAAGCTCTCAACAGCGACAAACAGGAATCATCTACAATTCTGCTTTGAAGTGATCAAAGAAGCCGAGAGATCTAAATCAAAACAAATCAAAAAAACACCTGCACAAACAAGTAGCAATGGCGAAACCGTCTGTGATCGGCCTGGCCCAC